ATATGAAAAAAAAATTTCTTAATGGAAATAATAATAAAAGGAGTACAACTTTTTTATGACCGTTCGGAGACCATTTTATGTTTACATTTTCTTATATATTTTTCTTTATACATAAGAAAAATCGAAAATTGTTTAGATTTCATAAAGGAAAATACATAAGAAAATATATAAATATAATGAAGCCCGAACGGTCATGAAAAAATAAAAGTTGTACGCTACTTTGCAGAATTTATTATCATATAAGTACGTATCTCAAAATTCATTATTAAAAAGCATTATAAAAAGCCACATTAGTAACCATATGATGATCGTACCATGTGCTCATACAATAACCACTCTGTCTCTGAATATCAATGCGATTTCGGACAAGCTTTACGTTGTGAAACATGTGTCTCGTAATCATTGAGGCGAATAATTTGAAAATATATTACCCTCTCTCTCTTTATCATATCTCTCTTTCTTTGTCTCTCTTTTTCTCGGTCTCGCTGTCACCATTATTACCACAAAGCGCCCTAGCGGCTTCAGGACATTAGTGTCGCACAGGCATGTAACCGCAAAAGTAGCGAATAGACCCAGCTACCATTATAAATGCATTAACTCTCCCCTTAGTTTTCGCCCTCTCCTTCTATGTGCCATTTTTTCGCTTTTGGCTGTTACAACTGAACATTCGTGAGTCTTCGTCTTCAGTAAATCACGTTTATCGCTTTTCAACTCGCTAATTGCTGAGCTTACCTCGTTGCATGCTTGAAAAAATATCAGTAAAATAATTGAATTTCGGGTTTAACTTCTAGAACATTCACCACTGAAGGCAAAGATAAAGAATAGATATGACAATGGGTATTATAGTCATTATCTTCATTATTTTGGCGAATTATTTTCATTATTATGGCGAACATTCGCCACTGAAGACAAAGATGAAGAATAGACATGACAATAAGTATTCGTTATTTTATCATCACTAATTCTTGTAAAAATTAAAATACGATCGGGTAAGAAAAAGGGAGAAATGCGAAAGGAATAATAATTTGTCAAGCACGGCGATAGTAATTTTCGAGTCGATTGACGTTCGTAATACTTGGACGCGTTTCAAGTCTACCGAAGGGCATCGCGTAAGTCACCCCAAAATTTCTAAGCAACACGTCACTTTGATACTCGACAATGACAACGAGGAACGCGCCGCTCGGAACGATGCGATCGATTTTCAGGAGTTTGTCGCCGTAAGAAAGGACGGGAACTTTTTCCAACGCTACTACGATCTGGAGAACTGCACGATCATTAGGATAGAAGCGTGATGGAAGCGATCGTTACACTTTCTTCGCCAATCTCCAACCCTTCTCTCATCCTCTTTTCTCATTTCAGTCGAGCGAGATCAAGCAGCCCCTCGAGCACCTCAGGAGCGATAAATCAATGACTCTTCTCGTCTCTCTTTCTTTCTTCCCCATCCCTACCTCTTCGAATCCCCCGTTACTTCCGGCCGCCCTAGCTCCTAGCGGACGACTATAAAAAGCCAACGGGCAATTAAGGGTGTTTTAGAGTGGATGCACTCGAAAATCGCCGGCCAACCCCAGTCGAAAGTGGGGGAATTAAAAAACATTACTCATCATATAATCGCACGAGCGGTTCTCGACGCTGTCTGTCACCGTCGCTCTTTCTCCCTTTCCCTCTCTTTCTCTCTTTCTCTTTGATCTCGCACTCGGACACGCTCGTCCTTCTTGCGCCTCCGACGTGCCGGCAGAAAAATGAGAAATGATCGTGGCTCGATTCAGAGGTGCCTGTTTAAAATTCATGAACGATTTTACTGCAACCTCCCCTATCGCAACCCGTCACAAAAGGGCGAGCAGAGCCATATCGAGAGAGGGGGAGGGGAAAAATAAAGAGAGAGAGAGAGATAGTGAGATTGTGGCCCACATTTGCGACTATACATCAGCACAAAATCACGAGAGAACGAGTGAGAGAGGGAGAGAGAGAGAGAGAGAGAGAGAAGAGGGCTTGCACCCCACGAAATATATTAATTGTCGAATTTTCCGTGCGAGCTGCATATCCGTTAGAGCCGCTTTGTCCCTTGCCAGGCGCGGATCTCTTGATTATTAATTACTCCGACCACCAAGTACACCCCACTCTGCCCTCCTCTCCTCGCGACTATTACCCTGTAACATTTCCAGTTGTGTTTCAAAGGTACGATCTTTTTTTATTGCGGTCGCAATTTTAACAAAAAAAAAACTGTAACAAATGTACACGTCGGTGCCCGTTAATTATCGCCTGAATTTCATGCGAATCGTTGAATTTTTATCGAGTTGAGAGATAGAGTTGGTTTGATTTATCATTGTGAATAAAAACGATCTCCAAAGATCTCAAGGGGGGTGCAATTCGTCGACGGAATTTCCAACATTTAATTAGATGTTGATACCAATAAAACTATACTGATAATTATCGATAGTTTCTATTTAATTATTTCAATTAAATTTTGCATCTCTGATCGAAATTGTGCGATGAGTTTGTGATCATAATTAATTTTACATCGACGTCTATAAATATGTACTGACTGATGTCCTAAATTGAAGTATTGTATTTAGATGTAACCGCATAGCGAAAACTATTTAATAATATTCAAGAAATCTGGTATTGATTGACGTTCTCGTGTAATAACATAACTGTATATCGTATTTACGACTGCATTAATTATGAGCTACAAGAAACAAGGATAGCACATCCATACACATATATGTATATACGTGTATATATATATAATTTTTTTTTCGAAGGGCGACAATAGCAGGGGTGGCAAAAACTACTTGCACTTATCGAGCAAGAACGTCGGATGTAATTCACGCCTCGCCGCCACGGAAGGGTTGTAATTTTCTTGATATTATTCATGAACGTTATGGCAGGTTGGCTCATGTAATATAATAGCCCTTCACAGTCGTTTTCTCTTTATGTACATTTTTCTCTGTCTTATTCGCCTCATTTCGTATTAAGCCGCTCGACGCGGCACTTTAATATATTTCTCATATAAAGGGCGAGTTCCCTTAATCGCGTGAGTACACGCTCTTATATCGTGTTCATCAAATGAAAAAAGTTCATAACGTTCTCGATTGTTATACGAAGGTTACAAGTTCGATAATTCGTAAAATGTTGATACTTTTTAGATTCTAAATTTTTTCTTTTTATTTTTACCGTCTCATTAATAAATCTTAAGCACGGTAAAGACTAAAAAAATTTACAATTTTTATTATGAAAACGTCATAAAAATCATTTTTATTGTTAAATTTTTCTACAATAATATAATATAACATGTCTCTCTCCTTTAAAAATATACACAGAGAGAGAGAGAGAGAGAGAGAGAGAGAGAGAGAGAGAGAGAGAGAGAGTTCTTCACCATTAATTTGAAACGAATTAGTAAAATGTATAAGTATAGCTTTCATGATTATGATGCTATTTCAATAAATACCTACAATAAAATGTTTTCAGTTTCACAATTCCTCATATTTCATTTGTTCTCAGAAATGGACTTAAAATTAACGGAAGATTCTCTATCCATGTCTTCATAATAACTTAAATAAATATTTCGCTCTGCATGTCGTATGATATTTTCTTTTCATTCCATATTCTGACACACACACACACACACACATTGCATTCCGTTTTTAGTATCCAAACCGCACATGCATGTGCTCCATGCACGCCATTCGAAGATTCCGTTTGGGCGTAATCTGTTTTACTGTACGACCGATTGCGCGAATGTAATTCACGTTTCGATTCTGTGAAAAATATCGTGATTTTCGCGGTATGATTTGCAGTGTTATCGAGCAATAATGTTCGGTTAATATGGCCTTCGGCAGAGAATTTCACTCCTCCTGTCTCTCTTCATGTTCCATAGCGTTCGTTTCGTCCCCGTTACACGATATCAACCCCCCAAACCATGGCCTGTTGATATATCTCTGTCTCGCGCGCGTCTAAGGGCGCTTTTACGTTCGCAGGTGCGGTTCAGGTATATGTATCTGTATGTATGTATGTATGCACGTATGTGAGTATATATATATATATATATATGTGTGTGTGTGTGCGTGCCATGATACGCGATGATTAGGCACTGAAACTCCACGGGCTATTTGTTAGTATAATAAGCTCCCGGTAGTGTGGCCAACGTAACCACTTGGCGGCACGCCACCCCGTTTTAGCGTAATTGTCCCAGATCGAGATTTACATACGTGAGGAGGGTAAAGAGGGGCACTGCGAGGGAGGGAAGGGGGCCGGTCCCAGGGAGAAATTGCAGAAAGCTCGTGATTGCTTCGAGTGGCGGTGGCCTCGAAAGCCACCAGTCGATCCTTATGCCGACAAAATTTCGCGCTACAAACGAAGGAACGAACAGCTGAAATACTTGGAACGGATCTTATCGTTCGCTATTAGAATCTGGAAAACTACCGTGGAACTACGCTATGCTCGCATGTGCTTCCGGCGATCAAACCTCACATCGCGATATCATAGCTCGCATGGGCCCGCCGTTTGACATTGGTAGGCCTAACTTAGATCTATTTTGCCGATATTACTTTATAAGAATAACGATCGCTCTGATGTAAATGTCTTGAATAGCTGAGTCGTTTTTCATCGCTGGTCATTACCGACGTATAGCCTTCATCAAAATACTGAACACGTCAGTGGATTTTATGATTCTTTTTTAGTGTCGATGTACGTCATTCTTACATACGCGAGTATGTACACTAGATTAGTTTAAAAATATCAACATCGTAAATTTATTCTATAGATATTTTACTCGCATATTATCATTACAATTTTCATATTACATAACCGATACATTTTTGTAATATAATATAAATTTTGTCGAATTTTGTATTCAATACTGAAATTATGCTTCACACATCAATGTATTAATACATTTCTTTTTTTAAGAAATTCTTTGAACGAGGACTTTAATGTAAATAAATCGCAAAGACTTTCGTACGGAATCGTTACTCACGTGTTTGCTTCCTTTGTACTTTCAGAACGAAATGGAAGCGACAAACGATCGTTGGCTTCGAGATCATGGCCGAAAATAATTTCGCTGTTGCCGCCTTCCAGCATCTGTACAGCGGCAGTACCGTCCCCGCACATCCTGCCGCAGGACGCTATTGGCAGTATCCCAGCGCGCACGCGTTACCCGCGAACGGATTCTTCTATCAGCCATCATCGGCGGCGGCGACTCTGCAAAAACCGCTTCCCTATCGTCTATATCCGCCCATGATTCTAGCGGGGCCAAGTAATCCTCTTGGCTCTTTGACTGCGAGCTCCAGTCTGTCGACTCTCAGCAACTATTACAGGGACAGTCCAGAGATGGCTGACGGCCGGGATTCCTCGAGGAAAAGGGACAGGAGTAAGAGTCCAGAATCGAGAGACAGATCGCCAACTAGAAAACCGGCAAGACTGTATCCGCTGCAAATGATGCAGGCGGGCCCTAGCAATCCTCTTGGCACGCTGACCACCTCCAATCTCTCCAATATGAATAACTATTACAGAGGTAGTCCGGAATTGATGGAAGGAAGAGAGAATATGGACAGGTCGAGAAAGCAAGAAAGGAACAGCAAGAGTCCGGACTCCAGGGACAGATCACCCCTGAGGAAGGACGTTAGATCTTATCCCTCGACGATGATCCAGGCAGGTCCTAGCAATCCTCTCGGACCCCTTGCGCCCAGCTCGAATCTGAACAACTATTACAGAGACAGTCCGGAGATAATGGATGGACGGGAAGGTATGAACCGAACGCGACAACGTGACAGAAGTCAAAGTCAGGACAGATCACCTGTACAGAGAGAGGATAGTCCTCGAAGTGTAAGAGCCGACAGTGATGAAGAAAGCATACACGATATCTAGGACATGGAGATTCGCGGTACCGGCGGTGGCACGTCGGGAGTATTGCACGAGGAAGACAAGTATGTCCTGCAGGATAATTAGAAAACGTGTGGAATGGATTGATTTCCTCACGACATGTCATTTCGGAATAAATGTACTAATGGCGAACGAAGAGTTAACATCAGAAAATAAGGAAACTATCAAGGGATGAATAATCCTTTTGAAAATGTATTCGTGTGAATCGGGCAGCTATTGAAACATATGGGCAAGCTTGAGAATACTGATTGATGCGATAACTCATTATGAGACACTGATACGAATAATTAAAATCGAATTCACTTAACTAGCATTAATCAGTCAATTTCGAACGAGATAACGAAGTCGCTCAAATTTCAGCAGCTACTGCATTAACAGTTCATAAATAAACAAATCGATATCCATATGGAGAATTTGTTGGGAGAATGATCGATAAAATTTATATAATGGAAGGAACGCTGTATATATATTATATATCCTTGAGAACTTGTATCGATCCACGCAGCTACCATGAATCCAAACGAAGAAGCGAATGCAGCTGATGTAACGAGACTGTTTAAGAAGTTATATATCCAGACGTATGCAAGCATCGAGGAGAGACTACGTAGAGATTATTTCGTCACAGTTATTTTAAAATCTGGAGAGAGCAGAGTGAGAAGAGATTCAGGATTCGCGAGGTCTGAACCGGAGTCAGCGAAATGAGATGCGAATGGAACGGCACGGCGGCCGATTTCGTGAGGTAGAACAGGAAGTGACATAGCACGGGACGTCCGGGATTTTGTAGATAATGAGAGCGAACAGGAAATATCGTGCGGTTAACCGAACTTCGTGATTTGAGCGTTCAGTGAATGGCGGGTTACGGTGAAACAATATATTCAACGTTGATACGATCGGGCGTGTAGAGAGCGGACGAAAGTAAAAATCCCGTGCTTCACCGATACATTATCCCTCGGACAAATGGAGACTCATTATTACTCATTCATTGTCCATTCATTATTTTATTTTCCACTTCTTCGCATGCAACGTGTGATTAGTCCTTCGCTTGAAAGGTACTTGTTTTCCAATATTTTTACAATTTACAGAGCAAAATTATTTATGTTCCAGTTTTATTTTGATCACAGTTATCGGTAATTACACTGTGAGAATTATTTAATTTGAATTTAAATATTGATTAATTTTATTGCGAATTTTATTGCTCTCTTTAATATTTATAAATTAAATTATATCTTCACCGCGAAATAACTATAATACGTGCACATTTTTTAAACATCGATCGATGATTTCCTTGCAGAATATTGTAAGAGTTTATACAAGCGAATAATATTACATTATCAATAAGTAACTATTTCGCTGTGCCAAAAGTTTATATTCGATTCTTTTAATCTTATAATTTTACATAAAATTTTATAAATTCTCGCCTCTCTGATGCCGAGAATGAAAGAACTCGCTCATCTGCAAAGAAATCAATCAATATTCATGACCGCAGCGATTTTTGGCTTTCAAAATTCTATCACATGCATTCAATTCATCGCAGCACGGACCGATGCGATCCGTTCGTATAGCAACGATACGAGGCTGCACCATGCCGATTAAGAGAATCCAGCTAGATTGGACGGTTTCGTATGTCGAGGACGGTTACAGTCGCGCCAGGAAACGGGCCAATCGCGGGCGAACGTAAATGTACAATTAATATGACATTAGAGGGGACCTAGCCGCGGGGGAAGAAATCTAAAATGACACGAAATTATGTAGTGGTCACCACGAACGACAAAAAAGGACCGTGCAGGAGAGGGCGGCATCAGGGCATCGAACGTGAAGAAGAGGGTTCGACTATTCAAATAACTGCGTTCTCGTGTCGGCGAAGCGAAACCGGCATTTTACCTGCCGTTCTTCTTCGAGAAAACGAACAAATCGGTCGACTTAATTAATATTGACGAGATCTGAGTGACGGTGATGGTCCCGAAAATTGCACGACATTGGCGACCGGTAATTTGCGAACGACAACGGGGGCGGACTCATATTTTCTTCTTTCCTAGAAAAAAAGATCGATAATTCTCTTGATCGTGGTAATAAGTGCCGTCGTTGTAAGTAAAGTTAAATGCGAATTACGTGTGGTAGAGAATCCTCGTCCTACCATTGGTATGAGTCCTTGTTGTCGTTGAACGACACAGTGATACGCGATTCGCACGATAAACGACGATGACGATGCGACGTCTGCCTCAAACGATGATTACATGTTTCCTCGCGAAACAATTGCGCGAAACGTGTTCCATTCTCTTAAGACCAAAATTATATCAAATCTTACGCCGATTATTGCTGAGATTTTCTAGAAACTATGACGAGACTGGACACGAACCGACACGAACGAATTATACATTAATAAGTGGTAAAGTCAGTATTTGAGAAGCAAACTACCTAATTAGATGACAATTCTCGCGTCGGTACGATCGAGAGGTTAAATCGGACAGTGGTTTTCTCTAAGACTCTAAGAGATCACAAAACGCTATAAATATTTCTTACAACCGGGAAACTTTAGTTTTTTTTACGATCGAACGTTTTCGTCTGCGGAATTTTCATAGCAGCGAGTTGGTTCGTTCGACACGAGCGATTTTCTAATTTCGGTCTCGCAAAGATGAGCTGCATCATCCACTTTGTAAATATAACGGATGTACCATCCGCGCGTAAATGAAGATATACGAAAACTGTAAATATACGAAGATGGGGGCTTGTATGAGGATGAAGACGCGCGAGGATGGAACGAGTCCATAGGACTTAAGCCAAGATACGAGATACGAGATATTTCAAAGTATTTTTCAGATTTCAGTATACGTAGCGGAACGCGAGGCGATCGACGACACGGCACGCGGCGCGTTCGATAAGAACATACCAGTATTATGAATGTATAAAATTAGGCTGTACAACGTGCGAGAGGGTCTCCCGTGCGGAAACGCAGATGCGTCGTCGGGGAGTACGCCGGCGGACGTCGACCCGCACGGCGCGTTTAGTAGTTAAGTAACGCAGCAAGAAGTACTTAGAGTATATAAAAACCATGCTTTGTAAAATAATGTCTGTATAGCGAGAATTATTATATTATATGGAAAATATATTATACTGAATTTAACGTGTTCTGCGTTCTTCTTTCGGAGCCATCACGCCGAATGCTTTCTTTCATGGAAATCTCGATTGATCATTATTAACGAATTCTATTTATTTTTTTTATTTATTTTTATTGATGTTAATATATAATAATACTTTGTTTCAGTCTAAAGTTTTACGAATCTTTTCTGAAATCTAAAATCTCAACGTGTCTCACATTTCTTAACGAATTTTTCTACAATTAAAATCTCAACATCTCGAATTTCTTTTTCCTACAAATTCTACAAAAGTGTAACAAGAGCTTTTATATATGTATGTGATTTAGTTTTTCGCGTTAAAATAACACTACATTACACGTTTAAATATGTAAATTCATTTTTGTATGCAGTTATTTTTACATGAAAAATTAAATCACATATATATGTATAATACAGTTTCTCAATTATATACTTGGATTTGCAATATAATATTAGATTTTTATCTTTTCTAATTAAATTACAATTATATGATAGATTTAGCGAGTGACTTATCATGTATGAAGAAATAATAAAAAAGGCAATTGGATTAGTTCACGCGAGAAAAATTCAGTGTTTTGTTCCGACGTTCCGACGAAGGGACGTTCCGGCCGTTGGAGTCGAGATCGCTGTCACGAAAGCGCCGACCCTTTTCGTTTAACGTTCAATTTGCAACTTCGCATAATGTAAAATGACTAGATTGGCGTTTAGAAGAACTGCCCGAGGCTCCCAGGACATTTTCACGCGATGATGCATATTGTAACGTCCGCGATTAAGTGAATGAGCGCTTGGTGCACTCATTTTGCGACTATTAGGATAAAATTGTACTCATCAAACTATTTTGCGTAACTCGCATTTTATTCAAGAAGCTCAGATTCGAAAGTGAAAGTTACATACACATTCTTGAAAACCGAGGTTAAACACATGATCGTCGTTCCAAAATAATTTCGAACTTCTCGTGTGTGTGTGTGTGAGCGGTAAGTGGTTTTTACTAATCTATCTTTTTCTTTTAAACTCCGCCAAGCATAATAATTAAATAATTTTCAAGTCTTTTTTGAATAAAACATTAAATTATCATCCGATCCATTATTACAGAGTTTATCTTTCTTATTCTTTCATATCATCTGAACTCATCAATTAACGTGATTAATTAGTCGAGTCAGTAACTTTTCACACACTTTTTCTGCAGATCTTTTTGGTGATAGCAAAACTCAAAACAGTCATTACTCGAAATATTTCTTAATAACAGCTAATTTCATTAATGACATGATGATGATTTTGCGCCACGAAGTAGAAACTTCGAAGCAATTAAAGCTTTACTTTCTACGGCATTACGTATATTTCTGCCAGGCCTCGGTGAGTTTCGCGTATCGTTTTGCTACATCGTTATTCTCGCTTTACAATTTCCGTCGAGCATAAATACGGCAGAGTTTATAACTAGAGAGGATAAACGAAATTTTCAGAATACGTATACGCGCTTAATAACTTCAAAATTTAATTATTGAACTATATTATAAACGTAATATTAAAGTTAATTAGTCTGAATAATGTGAGATGTAAACAATTTCGAATTTTTAGATATTTAGTAATACTTCGAACATTAGTGATACTTTTGAATTTGAAAACATTATTAAAAATATATTATTACGAAATGAATTATAAATCTCGAAATATCCGAATAAACTTTCTAACATATACTTGTCTAAAATATCACGATTCTGCATGAAATACCAATCACAAAAGAGAAAGAGGATATTTTCGCGTATTCATTTCCGGAATTACATCCCAATGACAAATTTTACGGAAGAACGAGAATCCAACGTATATGGCGTCATTACGCGAGTTACTATAGCCCTTCTTTCCGCGCGTGTCCCATTAAGCCGAAATTTCGGCGCGGTTCAGAAACGTCGTCGTCGAAGGCGAAACCCGGCGAGCGTGACAGTGTGCACGGAGCTTAATCGCGTTTGCTTATTTCCGCCGTTGGCCGGTGCAATTATGTTGTGGAGAACGCGCGCGCACGCTCTCGCACTCTCGCTTCCCTGCATAAGGGCTTATTTTATTCCTATTAGGGTAAAACGGGTAGCAGGGACGGACGGGACGCACACTACCGTGTACCCACAATTACGTGAAATTAATTTGGGCCCCATTAGCGGTCGGCCGCGCGACTACCGGGGCACTAACGATTTTCCCCAGCGACGGACACGGTCGAATGAGACGGTGCCTCTCGTGTCGCAAACACTATTGTACATATTCGAGAGCACGTATATGTTGCGTATACGCAGCACTTTTTTACGCCACGACAGTGTTATACCGCGAGATGTGAGATCCGCGGAACGAGGAACATATGGAAATTCTTAATCGCTCGTCAGCATCGTTAAGTTACGATATCCACCGCGATACTAATGTTACTGCTACTTACGCAGCTCGTCGCCGCAATCATGAACGCCGAGGTGTGCAATTATTTTCTTTAAGAGGCCATAAATTATAGTTAACCGAGTATAAGCTGTACTTGTTGCTTTTTGATTAATGCAAATTTATCCGTGTACGCTGCAAAAATTATCCATCCCTTAACATATTCTTTTCACCATGAATCACGAGCTGCGCTATTGTGAACAAAGCTCATGATAAATTAAGTCATAATTAAATCAAAAGCCAATTATAATTTGATAAACGTTCTCCTTTTAAATTCATTACGGAAAGAGTCAAGTGATTAACATAAAAGTTAATAAGGTTATATTATATTAAGGATAAGTACGACCGTGTAAATGCTATACATAAATATAAAGAACGCCAATAATCGGTCAAAGTTAGATGTTATGAATATAATACATATTCCTAATTTTTAAATTTAATTATCTCAGATGTGACTGTGCGCCGAAACGTTCGGACATTAACCACAATCGATCTGAGATATTAATAATATAAATATGATAAGGCGCCGAAAACATTCGGACATTTCTATATATGA